ACTTCACCATATAAATGTATTTTTAATGGGATTCACACTCCTTTTCTTTCTCCTTCTCTTCCTTGGGATGGTACCCAGGAAGCTTTTCCTTGATTTTCTCCAAAATACCCTTCTTCTCGGCTCCCTCACCGCCGTGAACCTCGGAAACCGGAGCACACTCCATCGGGGGTGGCGGTGGAGGAACCTCCTCAGGTTTCTTGTGTCCAGGAAGCTTTTCCTTGATCTTTTCAAGGAAGCCTTTCTTCTCTTCAGGAAGGGTTGATTCAACTACAGCCTCGGCGATAACAACTTCTTCCTCATACTTCTTTTCTTCGGGATGCGGTGCACCGGTGGGGACGACTTCTTCCTCGTACTTCTTTTCTTCAGGATGGGGTGGGGGCGTCGGAATAACGAGGACTTCTTCCTCATACTTCTCAACAACAACAACTGTGGTGGCCTCCCCATGCTTCTCCTCTTCTTTCTTTTCTCCCTCTATCTTCTCCTTGATCTTCTCTTTCAGTCCCTTCTTTTCCTTCTTTTTCTTTTTCTTCTCATCTCCTTCGCCTTCTTCCTCATCGCTAGACTGTCAAATACGATTTTAAAACATAAGCAAAAACTGAAAAACTCAATAAAACAAAAGATGCTTCAAATTTTAAGGTTGCCACGAAATTAACTTACAGAGCTGGAGCTGCTGTCAGAGCGGCGAAGCTTCTCCATGAAACTGTGCTTCTTTTTACCTTCCTCCTCTGGTTTTCCCTCTTCAATCTTTACCTTCTCGTCAAACTCAGAGACGATCACCTCCTCCTGCTTCTTCTCTTCCTTCTTCCCCAAGACATCAAACAACCCTCGATCCTTGGTCTCAACTTCACCCTCACCAACGTACTCATGGCTCTTGCTGTGGCACTCTTCAGCCATACCGATCGAACTAAAAATCAGGGTTTTTTTTTTTTCTTTAATAAAAAAACACAACGGAAATAAAGGCTGGCTGGCTGTAAATATGATTGCTATATAGGGTAGAATCAAAAGTTCAGAGATGATGATGGTTTTGTGTGTGAGAGTAGGAAGGTAGTGTGGGGTTTTATAGCCAATCCGAGGGCTGTAGCCTGTAGGGACTAAAGACAACGCGCAAATGACGCGATTAAGAAAAAAATATCACTAAATATAGCTGTCGGACTTCTGTAACCGACCTGTGCGTTAAAGTAAGAAGAAAATATTCCACCAAAAAAAAAAGAAAAAAAAAGAAGAAAATAGTACACCACCAAGACGCCGATCAATCGCGCGTTTCGTTTAGGAAGATGGGATGTTGATAAAATTTAGAAATCCAATTTTTAATTATTAATAATTAATAAAATTAATCTATTAATTATTATTTTTGTTAAAAAAAAATAAAAATAAGTTGTTCCACGCACTTAAAGTAAAGAAATGGTGGAAACTCGCTTCTTTTATTCAATCCTAAAGCTAATGGCTGGAAAGACTGTTTGGATGTTATAATTGGGCACCAATATGGCTGTTAACATTGTAAAGTATTATTTTTAAAAATATTAATTTTATTTAATTTGATTAATAAAAATAATTAATATTTATTCATTAATAGATTAAAATCAATTAACAAAATATTTTTTTGACACTTTTTAAAGAACAAATTAAACTTTTAGTGGCTTAACAATATTAATGACGATAATAACCATACCAATTAGATTTCAAATCCTACAATTTGGATATTAATTTTATAAGTTTTTCTATTTAAGGATGTTAATTTTATTAATTTCTAAATAAAGATGTTAACTTTCAACTTTTTCTATTTAAGGATATCAACTTTAAATTTTTTTCTATTTAAGAATTAATTGAATAATAATACCAATGTGGCAAATAGATTTTTTAACCAAAAAGTTGAAAGTTAGCATCCTTAAATAGAAAAAATTGAAAGTTGATATCCTTAAATAGAAAAAGTTGAAAATTGACATTCTTATTTAGAAATTAACAAAGTTAACATCCTTAAATAAAAAAAATTGTAAAGTTGATATCCTTATTTGCAACTTTACTCAAATAAAAAGTTAAAGAAGCATGGGATGAAAAAACCTATTTTACCCTTCATTTTCCCTTTACCAGTTTACTTTGCTGTTCATTATAACATTGTTGGCATAAAAGGTTATTATGTTACTTTATTTTTTAGCCCCATCACAACTATAATGCAACTGTTCGAAAATTGAAAGCAGATTTTTTATGAAATTAATATTTATTATTTGAATTTTTAAAAAATTAAGAAAAAAATTCTAATATTACATTATTTTATTAAAATATTATAAAAAAATTAAAATAATTTAATTTTTACTTTAAAAATAAGCCCCATCACAACTATAATGCAACTGTTCGAAAAT